TGTGTTGAGAAAGTTGTTGTAGATACATGCACACAAGAGGTCGCAATGGAGAATGAGCAACTCAAGCGAGAAGTGGCTCACCTTACCAAGGACTTGACTCAAGTAAAAGGCAAAATGGAACAAGCCCAACATCATCAAGATAACACTATTAAGGGATTGAAGAAGATTGATGATGGACAAACCGTGGTTTGCTACGTGTGCCACAAGGAAGGCCACAAGTCATATGAGTGCAAGGTGAAGAATGGGGGAGGAGCTAAGAAGAAAGAGAAAAATAAAAAGGAAATAAGCAAGCTCTCCAACACCCACACCAACAAGGTGGACAAAAAGGCCTCCACACCTTATCTCTTGAAGAAGAAGAAAAATGATAAGGTGGTGGTCATCAAGGTGAACAAGCAAGCCAACAATGGGGCCAAACGTATTTGGGTGCCAAAGGAGATCATTTCCAACATGAAGAGAGCCAAGAAGGTTTGGATCCCGAAAGGGAAGTGAGAAGTCCGATGGACTTCGGGGAATTTGGAGACTTGGCAAAGTATGGGTGCATTTCATGGGGTGCATCATTATGGACAAGGTAATTGCCAAGTGGGTTAGTGAATACTATGGACCCAAATTTCCCTTCCCATGTTATGTAACTAGATTTAATTTCTTGCAATTTCAATTAGCATCTAGTTCCTTTTCATGCCTAGGTTTGCATTTGCATGTTTAAGCTCTTGTCTTGCATACACTAGGTATATCTTATGGTAGGCTTGCTCGGTTTCACTCTTAATCCTTGGAGCAAACTTACATAGTTTAAATTGTTTAGGAGCACGGCACATAGCTTGTTTTACAATTGTTCATCTAATATATGCCAAAGTCCAAATTATAGATAATTTCTCCCAAATATCACTTTCGAAAATGATTCTCACATTCATGTGATGTCATCTTTCAAGTGATATTTTTTATTCTAAAATCAATGTGCATGTCTCCTACAAGTATTCCATACTTGTGCGCACAAATTTAGGGGGAGGTTACTCTACAAGTTGGATACTTTGAGACTAACACATTTTCAAGCTTATCATGTGTGTAGTAGTCTCATTGCAAGGAAAATAGAGTCCCCAGAGTTAAGCATCATACTTCCAATATCCACCACCTATTGCAAGTGGTATAAATCAAATTGGTTTCCACATGTGGTATTTCTAAACTGATATCATCATATTGATTTCACTTTGGTATTTATATGCTTTCTCCATGCATTATATAGATTAAACTCCCTTGAGCATTAATTTGCCAATTATGTATAAACTACATTCTTCATCGTATGTATGCATATATTTAGGGGGAGCTTAGTCTATGTAATGTGAGAGTCAAATTTGGTGACCTATTCCACTCTACATACAAAGGATCACAAAGTTTGACCCTCCCTTGTCTACTAATGCTTTCCTTTTCGGTGTTTGATTCCAAAGGGGGAGAATTTGTAGGACCAAAAGCAAGCCCGATCATAATAATTTACAAGTGGTAATGGTCCGAGAAAGGGAGGATAGTAGATTATGGAGTTAGGGGGAGGCTTAAATCCATAATGCCACATGGGGACATTTGTAAGGGCAAGATAAGTTTCCAAAGATGTTTACATGTGGTATCTTTTAGCATCATATAACCTTGCCCTTTGCATTGCATCCTACCAAGTAAATAGTTTTTAAATTCCAAAATTTTTATTATTTGCTTGCTTTGGTCGTGTTGTCATCAATCACCAAAAAGGGAGGGATTATAAGAAAAATGGACCCTAGGCCCATTTACTTTGGATTTTGGTGTTTGATGACCAACACAACCAAATTAGACTAATAAATTTGCAAGTAATTGTTTTGTAGTTCAATAGGGTGCAAACATGACTCGAACGAAGGCGACATGATGATCTGATGATCAACACTTTAAGCAAGACCCTAGAAGCTCAAGAAAGGATCCAAGATATCAAGCAAAGTCCAAGCACGAAGATAGAAACCAAGCCGGACGCAAGATCGCGAAGAAACGAGCTCCATAGAGGTGACCGACGTGGCCCTATGAGGTCCGGATGCGTCCGATCAGTTGCTCGGCAACAGCAGGCGTCAGTAGCAGTGACCGAACGCATGGACTACACTGTTCATCGTCGCAGCAACAACTCAATGAGGACCGGACGCAGTGGCACTGGATGACCGGACGCACAAAGTGCAGCATCCGATCATGTCCAGAGAGGTTCTAGAGCGGCGCAAATGCGACCGGACGCGTCCGGTCGATGATGACCGGACTCAGTAGTGCATCCGATCTCTACGCGCGTGCTCAACGGTCGGGACGACTGGACACGTCCGATCAGGACGACAGCAGCGTCCGATCAGTAGCAGAAAGCTGGGTTGTGCCCCCAACGGCTACTTTCTCTATGTGGCTTATAAATAGACCCCACAACTGGCCATTTGAGAAGCGGAGAGCTCATGAAACATACCAAGGGTGTTGATACACCATTTTTGTGATCTCCACTTGCATAGTGCTTAGTGATTCATTAGGTGATTAGCGTAGGTGCTTTTGCGAAGTGTTTAGGTTAATTAGACCACCGGTTATGCGCTTGCTCTAGGTTTAGGCCTAGTGTTTAGTGAGGTTTGCACACCTCTTATCACTCGATGCTTGCACGCACCATTGTTGTACATCGGAGGGGCTTGTAGTCTTGTGAGATCACACCAACCGCGTTTGTGGTGTGGCTGCCACCATGTACCAAAGGGAACAAGGCCGGCGGCGGTTCGGCCGGAAGCTTGATAGGGAAGACGGTGGGGAGCGCTCCGAGATACACTTGCCGGAAGGCACACCGGAGACCCACTTGCGCGTGGGGAAGGCCCAGGGCTATCCACGGAGTTACCAGACCGGGAGCTTGGCCCTTGCGAGTGATTCCTTGCGAGGGGCTCCAACGAGAACTAGGGGGAAGCTTGAGTGCTTCTCGATACCTTGGTAAAAATACCAGAGTCGTCGACGGGAGTTTGCACCTCTAACTCATCTTTACCTTCCGCATTTACATTGCTACCTTGGTTGTGTGCTTTACTTTCCTAGCTTAGTTGATAGGCTAGTTGATAGGATTGGAACCTAGGTTGCATCATTCTTTTGCGGTAGAGATAGCAACAGATCTAGCAAAACCATAGTTGCACATTTAGATATATTACTTTCCTGCATAGGTTTTGAGTAGGTGAAATTAGAGGCCTTAGTTAGAAGTAGAATTTTAAGTTGTCTAATTCACCCCCCTCTTAGATGTCACGGTCCCTTACAGCAGAGACCGAGAGGTGGGCCAGGGAGGTCGGCCGGCCTACAGGTGGGGCCAATCGGCCCCACCCAAGCCCCATTCGACTTGAGTCGCGGCTGTTTATCTTGGACGGTGGATTGGGGGTCCTTTAAGTCAGTTTCGTCGTGGATGATCACGATTTGCTCTGAGGAATAGGTCCACTTAGCCTGTTTCCTGAATAAATCCTCTTGAAAACATAGATTCAACAAAACTTATGAAATTTATCAGTTTAAACCCCTAGACCTATGTTGGTGATCATATTCATTCATTTATACAAGTTATATTGACGATTTATGATGAGTGTTAACTCCCGTCAACAGCTAGTTGATAGGATCGGGGCCTAGGTTGCATAACTCTTTTGTGGTAGAAATAGCTAAACTAGCAAAGCCTTAGTTGTACATCTAGATAGCTTATTTATTGCATAGGTTTTAAGTAGGTAGAAATTAAAGACCATAGTTTTAAAGGTAGTTTTTAAGTTGCCTCATTCACTTCCCCTCTTAGGCGTCATGGTCTCTTCATGGGTAATTATGAAACATGGGGAGTTATCCATATCTACATGCTAGCTAGGTGTTCTTATGTGGCTGTATGAACTAGTCTATGTGTTATTCATAAATAACATTATGAGGAAATAATGTTTTGAGCAACAATGGTGTTTTGTTAGCATAGATGAATTGCCAAACGACCATGTGGCAAGCCATTAGAAGACTGATTTAGCTGGTAAGGGCAACTCCAGCAATAGTCCTCAAAACAGGGTCTCCACTTTTCATTTGATGGCTCCCCCACTTTTAAAGGCCTTATTTTCTGAGCTGCACTCCAGCAATGATCCTCAAAATAGAGCCCTCAAACGCATTCCAATGGAGAATGACATCTAGGACCCACTTGTCATATACTTTATTGGCCAAAACACAGGGAATCGGAGAGGGACGATTGTGCAGGAGTCACAACCGTTAGAGGGGCATGACGACAGAGAAGTCACGGCTACAAAGGGAGCAGGAGTGCGACATGAGTCGTGGAGGCCCACCGCCAAGGGGGGCCTCAACCCCAACCTGGGAGTCACGAGAGAAATCGCGAGCACGCGCGAAAAAACCAGCCTTAGCCCCTAGAAATGAGGGTCGAAGGAGGATTTGAATGCCCACCTAAATTTGAGGGCCTAGGTACTGGACCTATATTTTTTGCCTAGAAATCCGTATTTAGCTATGGAAGCTCAAGTAGAGACCCAGCTAGAGTTACTCTAGAAAAACACGCTAGCCTCACCCTCTCCTTAAGGGAGTTGGACAATTGTCTAATAAAAAAAGCATCAGTCTGAAACTCTGCATGACCTAGGTTATCCGTTAACGATAAGAATGGCTATGGATCTGCATCACGTCAGCAAAACAATCTGCAATGCTGGGAAAACGGAGGATCAGTAATATGGTCAGATTTAATTTAACTGAATTCAGACACGAAAGCTAGAGTGAATTAGTCTGAAACAAATTAGCAAGAAACTAGTGAAAGAGAGATCAATGAGGTATTCTATTTCAAGAAAGCCGCACAATCACATCATGTCTCGGGCATATGGAATCCAATTTACAGGCTACATACACAGTAAATTGGGTAAATAACTAAATATAGAAGACAAGCATATATTATACAAACATACAGAAGCGCCTTTCCATCATTTGAGGTGCTCTTTTGGCTTTCCCACTGGCAACAATGGCCCCAATATAGCCGCAAAACACGTTTCCATGATTTCCTACATGACCAGTTCTGCAAGCAAGGCAAAAGGGCATATTCATTACTCATATGTGGAACAGCTATCTGGAATAAATGTGAAAAGCAATGACAAAACATTGATGTATCATGAACATCCATGGTGAAGCTTGCAGGGTTGAGCAGAGCATACCTAGTACAGTATTGGCAAGCATTGTGCTTGTTGGTATTGGCTCATCAGAATTGTGTGATTCTGATCCACAATGCTGCCTGTCATGATCACTGCCACCTGAACCATGGTGGCCATTGTCCTCACCACTATTATCAAAGCTGTCCCCTCCATCTTTCTGATCCTTTGAACTCCCAGCACTGCCATTTCGGGTGAAGCCTTGGACCAGCTCTGACCTCGGTTCTACACCAACTCGCCTCAAATGTAGCTGACAATGTTTCGATAATTACTCTTCAAGTTCCCCTAACAAAGAAACAGAAACGACATACACATCCGCAGCAATACCTGAAGGTACAGATTAACCTCGTCTGGACGTGACAGGAAGGGGAAATCACCACCAGTCTTCAGCACAGCACGCCTTGCACCAGGGTACCTTTCATTCAACTGTTCCTTCAACTGCTGGGAAACAGCAGAGTAGTCGTTTGTCTGTGCAAAGATGTTCACTGCACACTGTTAGTGTTAGCATATGAGGTATTAGACTGTCAAAGGTCATCAATTATTGCAAGGACCACATGTGGAAGTCATTATCAACCAATGGTCCTAAAGTCATCAGTTACTGAAGTGAACCAAATTCAAAGATGTTCATCCTCCAACGCCCAACCTACTCATAGATGTTACGACTCGATTTCAAAATCTCATGGTAACCATACATATATGGCCATATGGATCTTGCCATTGCAGCCAATCCACAGAATGGAGAGCTACAAAAAAACATATGTTTTTTTTTCTCTCTCGAGCATAGGAAAAGCCTATGTGAACAGTAATAAATGAGTTTTATAATATGTACATGAATTTTAGGTAACTTACATCCATTATAGTGATGAGTGAATCAGGAAACATTAATGACCCAACGGATGCAACATCAACATTTAACATCAACCTTGACGAAAGGTCATCTCTTGACAATGTCTCCACCTGGCATGCAGAACATGTGTGCAAATGGGTAATGAAGAAAAACAATGGCTTGTTATCATTAAAATAATCATCCAAGTCAAAATATTTAACATATCACATGAAGTCATCTAATAAGTAGAAATATATATGGTTATATAACATGAAGCTTGATTAGTAGTATTTATAACATGTCATAAAATCATTTTAAACCTTGTGGATTCTACCGATTAAAAAGCATCTAATGTGTTTAAAATTATTACAAACCTGACCCACAACAAAATCTACTGAGTCTGCGATGAATGGTTCATGGGGACCATCTCGGATTCCTGTCAAGAGGTACCGCTTCAGCAAAAAAGAAGGGGTCCAATTAACACTGCAACGTCAAAGAAAATTGTTTGACAGTGTTACTTACTAGTAGTTATACTAAGCATAAAGTATAATTTTATAAAGTCAAGATTTAAATTTATGATGTCATCTGTTGTCTTATTTTTTTGAAAACTTGTTCCGATTGAACAGAGGGCCTCAAGTTTCTTGTGTGATGTTATTCTTCACACGATTACACCATGTGTTTCACTGGACATCATAGAGGTTCATGTTACCCCATTATAACAATAACAATCCACTCACAACTGCTGAAATGAACTCCATCTAAGCTACGACAATGGCATAACTCATTGGAGGTTAGATGTTTGGTTTATCTCAGTGCTGTTGTAAAAGAAGATGAAGTAGTGTTATCGAAAGGTAAAAATCTAGTTGTCCAGAAGTGGAAAAAAAATATTTTAGGGCCAGCCATTGGATGGCACAGTTTGCTATATTATAATTTTATTTGCCAAACAGGGTAATGTATTTCCTCACAGGTGAATTTTCACATATAGTTTTAATAAATAAAATAAGAAAAGCACAAAGCAAACACAAACTGCCCCATAGCCCAAAATAATCTATAACAAAGACAGGTTTTCTTTAAACATAGAAACAAAGTTTTACAAGCTTCTTCTGCATCTCATAAAACATAAAAAACTTGGCCCAGAATCTTGTTTGCACCAAATAACACTCTCTTTAAAAATAATACATGTTTCTACATAACCATGAATCCCTGGTTTCAATAGAATAAATTTGAAATTCATTACCGATAACACTTAAGGTAATTCAATCAACATAATTTATCTGGTAACTAATGAAGAATCAAAGAAATTGGTGCATCCAGATTCAGTTAAAGCCATGTAAGACTATAATGTTTATTTCAAAAATGGATGGGTGTATATTCTACATCAGTGTTAAGTTACAATGAAAACTTGAAACCTTGTGTTCAAAAGTAACATATGAAAAAAATGGCTTTGAACAACATAGAATTAAACGAAAATAGGTGTCAGATGCAAACAGGGTATATGACCAGTTTATAGTGTTATCCAGATGTGGCCTTTTCTTTTTGTCAAGTACTCAAGTCAGACACCCCACACCCTGTTAGATTCTAAATGCTATTTGGCATGCCACCAAAAAACCTGTCAAATCAGACACCCACACATGCACCCCTGCCCATGTAACACTATTTTTAACACGCACTGAAGAGATTATACATACACTGGAGACCAAGGCATGGCAGCAGCAAACTTGTGCGTCTCAAGAAAAGTATTTGACAGGACCAAGGACTTTACTCTCCTTGGACGGTGTTGAGCAAATATTTGTGCTAGGAATCCACCAAGAGATGTACCATAAATGTGAACCTGCATTCTCAGACAGTTCAGTATAACCTATTATTTCAAATGAATACCTTAAGTGAAGTAAAACTATGTCTTCTGCTGTACATTTACAAGGAATAAATTCAGCTAGCCCTACCCCTACTGCACTTATTTTTCTCAACAGAGAAGAAAATAAATCAAACTTGTGACAATTTTCTTGCCAAAAGAGCAGCAAAATGCATGCCTTTTTTTGTAGAATATGTAAATAGGAGAGTTCATTACATTTTTATACTTGTGCTAATAGCTCAGTATACCATGGTTGTATGTTTTGTCAGTGTCATGATGCAAAGTTGAATGAAAATGAAATAATAAAATTCAAAATTTAGCAGGCAAAAGCATTAATAAAATGCATGTAATTTCAAGAATATGGCCATATTAATCAACAGTAGCAAAAAAGAGAAAATGTGAATCACTTGTAAGTAGTAGCATAATCAAGATACAAACGCATAAGGAAAACAGGGTAATGTTTCTTACATGATGGATATTCATGGAGTCCAAAAACTTTTCAAATGAATGAATCCATTCATGGTGATTCCAAACTTGAGGAACGTCAATAGATATTACTCGATAACCCTGAAAGAGATATGGTGTGTAACTGCACAGCACTACCACAATTTGGATGCCTTCCAAAGCATGATATGATATGATTTGCAGGTAGCCAGCAGATGAAGGCAACACATGAACTCTCAAACTTCAGATAATAGAAATCAGAATAGATGTGAGTTGGAGAGAAACATTCAACTCCCAAAGCATGTACCTTCATACAAAGGGACATGATCTGTTTATAGTATACATCAGCCGTTCCTGCAATTCCTGGGATGCATACAAGAGGCGGCACAACCTTGGGTCCAAAGTCATAGTACCTCCACAGTTTTGACCCAATCTACAAAGTCTCCGTGGACAAGAAATAGTTCAGAAACTAGCCACACATATGGCACAAATTGAAAATATTAATATAGAAAAAAGAACAACTTCAGAACTTTTACATCGAAAGGGATATAACACATTAAAATCCTACTGAACCGATAAGGAGCAATATGGAGTTAGGACAAGCTCCTGACTAAATATAAAAAGCATTATAAAAACCATATTTTAACATGAACAGACTCATGGGACTTGTAAGTAGATTGAAAGTTCATGTATAACATGTATATCTATTACTGGACACAGTCAATGCATAAGTGTGCAATGCCAAATAAACCCATTTGCAATATCATGTCCTTTGTATATGCACAATGATGTAAAACGAAACAAACTCCAATGGCAAGAAAAAAACAAGAGGTTGTAACACACCATGGGTATGTTGCATGTAACCAATGATGCACTTGGTTAATGAAAGCAAGCAGAAAAAAAGTTGTTGTGTTCAAGGTAAGACATCTTATTTAATCAGCAGCTCCATCTTAAAATGAAATTGACTCGTTATTGCTAAGGGAGTTGTTACATTTCAAGTGCCTGAATTTTCAGACAACAATCTTAAAGAACAACTCACAAGAGATAATTCACATTTCTTTTCTATAGCCAAACAATGACAAAATTACATGTCTGGACAACAACAAATAAACAGGCAGCTGAAATATAGGAGAAGTGTATTGCTAAATAACTTGGCTGAGCAGACTAAGTACGGAGATATGGAATGGAGAGTAAACTAAGGGCCTGTTTCGATCAGCTACGGCTAAAAATTAGCTAATAATAGCCTTGGCTGATCCAAACAGGCCATAGTTAGGGTTAGCTAGCTAATTAGCTAACCAGCCTGTTCGCTTGTTGGTTTCAGCCAGCCAATCAGTGTTTTTTTCTCGCAACAAAACAGCACCAGCCGAACTTATCAGTCCAGAAACCAAGTGTTTTTTTCTCGCAACAAAACAGCACCAGCCGAGCTTATCAGTCCAGAAACCAACCAGCGAACAGGCTCCAACATAGCCCACCTATTAGCCCCCTATCTAGATGAGCTAGGGGGTAGGGCTAAAAATTAGCTGGCTAACATAGCAGCCCATTGAATCAAACAGGCCCCTCTAGAGAAAATTGAGCAGAACATTACAAATATACACACTGCAGTGTCAGGGGAGATATCGTCAGATTCAGGTAAAGACATTGTGTGGATTCAATAGCACCACACCAAATTACACCAACCAACGAGCTCCTGCGGATAGCCGACCACAGAAGGCTCCTCACCCGGAATTCGCTTCAAATCCAGCCCAAATTCAGACGACCCCATATGAAGCAACGACGAAACCGTTCCCACGATCAAACTCCGGACCAAACGGCACCGCCTGAGGCCGAGTGGCCATACCCATAAAACCCGGACGGGAGGGGAAGAGAGTGCGGTGAGGTGGGAGGGAGGGAGTCGAGGTGCGCTCGAACTCACGGAGATCTTGTGGAGCGGGAAGACGGACTTGAAGTAGACGTAGTCCCCCGGCGAGGCCGCGCCGGCCCCGGCGCCTTTCATCTCCCGCTCTCCTTCTCTCACGCTCGCTGCGGCCGCGGGCGTCGCGGCAGTGGCGAGATGGAGATCAGGGAGGCGGAAAAGACGCCCTGGTCCCTGGATCGCATCCGGTTACCACGATGGCGGAGGGCACCAGTATGACGGCCGGCCCGGTGTTGGGTGGGGACCACCAGCACGCTGGGCCCATGTGGCACGAATGATTGCTGAAGGGCCGGGGGACCTCCCCACGCGTGTTGGATCTCCTCGACGTGTGGGCCCAAAGAGTACGGGCTTGGGTCGGAGGAACCTCTGGCTTGGCGGCACCCGCAGGTCGGCAAGTGGGCCGTGAACCGTGAAGGTGACGACACCGTAATCTTCTGCTCCCTTGTTTTTTATTTGACAGTTCGTTTTATTCAAATTTTTTATATAAACAATAAAATAAATAAATTATTATTAAAATATCTCTAATAATAAAATAATTTATAATAAAATAAATAATATTTATGTAAAAATTTTAAATAAGATGAATGGTCAAACAAGAAATGTTAAAATCAAAACACATCATTTTCAATGGGACGGAGGGAGTACACCTTAAAAAAAACTCTAAAGTTATCATTTAGCCAGTGATAAAAAAACGTATACTATTTGGTCACAAAGACTACACTAACTGGCCACAAAAACTACCAAATACGTATACTCGAGTCCACAAACATATACAGAGTCCGTGTCGAAGCCAATTCTGAATTCGCGTCAGAGACGGTTGGCAGCCTCGTCAAGATGGTCGGCAGCCTCACATTATTTATAATTCCAAAGGCACGTACGGCCTAGGCTCATCTGTTTCATTAAATTCCAAAAGGCACATACGTGTTTATGGGATCAACAAGCACCGGCGACAACAAGCACCGGCGACGCAACACCACTCGTCCTTTTCCTCCCTCCCGCCGGCGGCCGCGAGAGCTCCTCGGCTATCCGGACGGCTACAAGATGGGAATATTCTCCGAGAACTTACTCGCAGGCATGGACTGTCTCAACGGTCGCGAAACGGGCTGCCAGCGCTCCATGCGCTTCGATGGGATATTGCATCTCGTCGACTCCCGTGACGGTCTCCTGCTGTTCGCGCTAAGAAAGAAGCGATTTCTGATCTGCAACCCGGCGACGCGCGATAGTGGGCTACCCTATCGTCGCTGACGCCAGAGCCGTGCACTTTCGTCGTGGCGTCCGAGTTCTACTTCCACCATCCGTCCGGCGAGCACCGAGGGCTATGCATCGGCAACCTTCCGTCACCCGATTACAAGCATGACCCACCGTGCGGCGGCGTCTGCGCAGGGCTTCGCCCCGACCCCACTCGATGGAGTCACCCCGTCCTTCGTTATAGCGGCACCAACGGGTGGGGCCGATTGTAGATATCTTCCTCTGGAGAGCGAACGGAGATCTATCTGCCCGCCTTGGCCTATGCTGTGCCATCACTACGTGGACTAAAGGTCAGTATCCTCTCTTAAGACTCCAACGAAGCCTGGATCTCCCGCCCCCCACGCATTCGGTAGTTAGGACTACACATCTCGCCACCTCCGGCCATGCACGCGAGGGGAAATCCTTTGGAAGGGCACGAAAAGGAGCAATCTCGCAGCTGTGCAGGGCACTACTACAGACGGGCTCTTTGTCGAGTGGTTAGGGCACTCGGCAAAGCCCTTATTGTACTCGGCAAAAACTTTGCCGAGTGCCGCACTCGGCAAAGACTTTGCCGAGTGCTGCACTCGGTAAAGAGCAGTCGGCAAAGAACCCATCGGTAAAGGTTTCTTTGCCGAGTGCCACATATCGGACACTCAGTAAAGCCTTTGCCGAGTGTCACGTCAGCACTCGACAAAAAAAATTGGACGTCAACTCTGATGGCGTCTTTGCCGAGTGCCATCTCAGCGGCACTCGGCAAAGAATTTTTTTTCTTTTTTTTGAAAAATCTTTGCCGAGTGCCATACTCTTGCACTCGGCAAAAAAAAATTCTTATTTTTTTAAAAAAAATCTTTGCCGAGTGCCATGGCTCTGGCACTCGGCAAAGCTAGGAAATTGGGTCTCTGCTTCCCAGCTTTGCCGAGTGCCATGGTCACGGCACTCGGCAAAGCTCTCTTTGTCGAGTATAAGGAAAAATGCTATTTTTTTTGTTTTTTGCTTTCCATCAGACAAACAAAGAAATCATATATATATCAACACACAGCATAGGATATATCACATACACATCCATATTCCATCACATACACATCCATAACCCATCATATACACATCCACAATCCATAATACATCACATACAAATCCATTGTCCATAATCCATCACATACATTCGCATCATCCATGACAATATCCATCACAATATATATATGTCTCTAGTAGTAGTCCAACATAAGGCTAAGTCTAACACAAGTCCATGCAATATGAAAAGAAACAAATAAACGGTACCTACTACTAGCCTCCCCACCCGGAGTGTGAACTGCCACTTTGACGAGGGCCAGTTGGCCACCCGACCTGTGGAGAAGGGCCATCTTGAGGAGTCGGGTTCACATGTGAAGATGTCCTGGTTTGTGAGCATCGTACGTGACAACGTGTTCGAAACTTTTTCAAAATTTTTCCACGTCATACGCATCCGATACAGCAACAACTCGACAAGTTTCATGATTTTCGGAATTCGTTCGCATTTTATACAATTAAAAAACTACTCCAACGCAAATTGGCGGCGTTGCCCCGTGAGCACGTTGATCGAAATTTCGAGACAGTTCCTAGATTTAGCGTAAATTTACACTAAGAAATAAGGATAATATCTTTTGAACGAATGTAATCCATTATTCGATGCACCTGCAGTTCAAACTTACATTTTCTGAAAAAATTCAACAAAACAAAATAAACTATAGAAATATGCCAAAAGAAAATGAAAATATCCCAAATTTAAATATGTTGTTTGTGGTAGTGTACTGAAGCTTCAAAAAAAAATTGGTGGCAAAAAAACAAAAAACAAATTATTTTACCGAGTGCCAAACGGGGGGGCACTCGGCAAAGAGGACGCCGCTGGATGCTGTTAGGCCCCTACCAATCTTTGACGAGTGTCTGCCTTTGCCGAGTGCAGGTCTTTACCGAGTGTCATGCCTCTTTGCCGAGTGCCCGAAATTTGACACTCGATAAAGATTTTTGCACTCAGCAAATCACGTGTTTCCCGTGGTGGGGGTTCTGTTCCGGGATAGGGAAGGAATGGCCTCGCACAGGTGCGACTGCAATCTGCGGCCACTGAGATTTCCGAGATGCAGTGCGTGGTGGCCTCTAGCTACAAGATCGGCAATTACCAGGCGCCGGTGACTTAGATACGTGATGACCGACGTCCATGCAAGGCCATGCCGACGTGAGGACATGTGATGTCATTGTGATGTCACAGTGACTAATCTTAACTTATAAAATAATTGAAGGAATACGCGTGTACACATACATGTATGCGGATCCATAAGAAAATAAACATAAACTGATTGTGATTCAATCCATAGCCCCATGCAATGCACGGGTATATATTGTGGCAGAACCGTCCAAAATAACACATTTACGGAGGCGCTTGTCTTCCACTAGACACTAAGCACCCCAAAGTTGAGCTACTTCAGACAGTTCTGTCGAGCACACCCCATAAGAGAACCCGAAAGTTCACATTTTTCAACAGGATCATAAATGGGAGAATAAAGCTTACAACATTTTAGCCATTTTTTACATCATTTTTCGTGCAACATCAGAGTATAATATTTATTGTTTATAACAGCGGAATATAACCATGTTATCAGAATTTCAGCGGAAATAAAATCATTTAATGACAAGTCAAATATTAACATGATGATCCGTTATATACATCATAACAGGTTATAAGTTTTTCCATTGTAAAACATTTTGGGTGAAAGTTTTAAATAAACTCTATCTCCGCAACGTTAAGAAAATCCTCGCTGAGCCCACCAGGAGGTTTCCACACACAAGTGTCAGCTCCACATATTCTTGTCACCTGCAACAGGGTAGAACAAACCCTGAGTACTCAATGGTACTCTGCAAGGCTTATCCGTCAGGAGAAAAGAAAAGACTCCAAGAATATGCAAGACTATTTGGCTTGTGGGTTATTACATCTGCAGGAAGCATTACTAAGCGTGCATCCTTATATTTAATTTTATTAGCAGTCATCATTAGTTCATTAACTAACCATTCTATGTAAGCATATATACTACTTTCAAGCAGGTGGTAAGCAATCAGAACCATTTAACCATCTTTCATATTCCAGTTCTTACTATGGTGCTAAATCGTAGCCAAGTCGTACTGAATTACCCGGCGATTCACGAATCAATGTAGCCCAGCTAGGTACCCCGAAACATACGCCCCGCTTGTACTCTAGGCACAAGTAGGACCAACCCACCACTCTCCTGTCGAGGGGTTCAGGTCCCCGTCCAAACTTGAATTCCAAGCCCCCACACCTGAGTCCCGGACTCAGTGTGGTGCTTAGACCTCCACCATCCCTGCCTCCAATCAGTCGGTCCGGAAAGAGCCAAAACCCACGATAAGAGAGCAACGAGCCTTTCCTGCTCCCATAAACAAGTATGTGCTCAGGATAATAAGTCTGTGACTTAACTAGAATCCAATGCAACGGATGGTCCTCAATCGTCACAGGCGGAACAAATGCAATCCAAGCCTCGCTCGAATGCCTAACCAAGTCTAGATCCAAAGTTTCATTCCGCCCGGTCTCCAATTAACATTCATATATATTTCATGTGATAGTAATATAATAACAATAATGATATCTTTCCTATCTCTCACGAGTGATAGGTAATCACTCAACTTCTAACGAATCCTATAGCATAACAATCTATACGATCCTACCATACTAGTAAAACTCATACGATAAGGGTATATATATATGCAAGTGGGTTTCATTCAACTCCTTAAAACTTAATGCACAAGCATAAAATAAAGTGCAGAATAATAGAGGCTATGCACCGGGGCTTGTCTGGGTAAGATATAATAAA